AAAAAAAAAAAAAAAAAAAGAATTTAAAATAATACAGCATGCAGGATGTGGGAGGCCACCCAGGACAGGCCAGGGTCCTAACCACAAGAGAGCTTCTCCCTCTATTCCACCTCCCTTTTACAGTTCACCCCACAAGTGGTGCTCAGGAGGGATTCCTGGGGCTGCAACACCCAGTCATCCACGCAGCCACAGACCTCCTTCTGGCTCACAGCTTCACAGGCCCACAATGAGCAAACGGGGCGATCTGAGGTGCAGGGCTTGCTCTCTCCTTACTACGAGCCTCAGTGTGACAGGCAGCCTGGCCGACGGCCCCCTCACTCCACTTCCTCACACTTGCACCCTGTGCATCCCTGCTCAGCAAGCAGGCTGGAACGAGTGCTTTTCAACCAGTAGAGCCCAGGGGCAGTGAGGGACATCACCTTCAAGGTGCAGCTCAAAGGGCAGTGACTTCCATCTTCCTCTAGTTTTTCTTTGGCTTTTCATGCTTTGCAGTGTGTGCATGTGGGGCTGGCTGGGTACTAGGGACTGAACAGGGGTGTTGTATTGAGTCACACCCCCATCCCTTTATTATTTGGGAGACAGTCTTGCTAAAGTCATTACACTGCTCAGGCTGGGCTCAAACTTGCAATCTTCCTGCCTCAGCCTCCCAAGTGTGACCCACCATGCTGGCATGATCTGTTACCTTTGAGGCACATTATTATTCACCTATGTGTTTTAGTTTAATGCAGCATAATAAAGTACCCCAAAATGTAGCCAGTTAAGGCTACGCATGTATCCTGTCCTGCAGCTTGTGTGCCAGGCACCCCAGGATGGCTGAGCTGGGGCCTCCTTTGTACCCGTGCTGGCAGGGGTCAGTTCTTCATGGGCTGTGACGCTCAGGTTCTCAGTTTTGTGTGGCTGTTGGCTGGAGATCATCCTGTGTCCCTTGTCACCTGCAGTTTTCCTCAGGACTGCCTGTTCAAGCATGCACCAGGTGTGGTAACCCCAGCACTCTGGGAGGCTGAGGATTCTGGCTAATTACGGGGATTTCTCACTCCCTGGCCTGGCTGGACTTCAAGTGCCAGTTACTGTATTCTTTGAGATTTTCAAGCAGACTACAGAAGCCTCTCAATTTCCAGGCAGTTTAGAATAATGGAAAACAAGATATCTTTTGTCATGTAGACTGGATTTGCCTTGCCACAGAACCTAACTTGGGGGTTAAATAGCACCTTCATGGCGAGCCCTCCCACTGAGAGAAAATGCTCAAAAGTGAGGAGCAGCAGCCAGGGCAGGGCGGGCAGAATCAGCTGGGAGGCGGGGTTTCTTCAGAGATGACAATGTCTTGGAACCAGATATGGTGATGGCCGCACAACCTCGTGAATATATAAAAAAAATTAAATCGTACACTTTAAAATGAGAAAGTTGTGATTTCTAGGCTGCCTCAATTATAAAAAGTTTAAGTGAGCTCTTACAGGAGAAAGTTAACGCCTGCAGTTTTTCAGTTTGTTTGGGCCTCACTTTACAGTGCAGACTGGCCTTGAACTCTGCCTGTCTCGGCCTCCTAAGTGCTGAGGTTATAGGTGTGCCCTCCCAAGCGCGCCTCAACATTTGCATGTAAACATGTCCTGAGTAGTGACGCTCCCAGCTCGGCCGAGGACCACGGGGTAGCACCTGTGCTGAGAGGACATACAGTGACAGCACTCTGTCTGGCCCAGAGCTCAGGTCTCAATCCAAGCTCAGGCTGGGGACTTTTTCTTCATTTTATCTTTCAGGAAAATTACCACCAGACACCTTCCTCCAGGAAGTGTGTTTATTTCATTTTATTTTTATTTTTCTAAATGTGTTTTTGGTTCATTTATAGATGCTACATTTTTTTTTGGTCTTTGTGAAACGGTCTTGGTATGCAGTTCAGTCTGGCCTTGAGCCCAGGCAGGTCAGATTCACAGTGATCTTCCTGCCTCAGCCTCCTGAGTGCTAGGATTACAGGTGTGTGCCACCATACCCAGCATACTAGTCATTTTTTAAGACCCGAGACAACTTCACCTCATTTTATAATGCAACTCATTAGTCACTGGTTGCTATGAACAGCTAAGTAAGAAAACTCATTGAAGATAAACATTTAGAGAGAAAAAAAACCTTTCCAAAATTCTGATTGCTTTTCAGCATGCCTCAGTTTGAATGGCATTCCCAGATAACGTGGAGTGATGTATGTTTCCTATTACTATACAGTAAAACATAATCCATACCCAGGAGTTCCTATGTGACACACCTGGAATTTAGAATCCAGGCAGGATCTTGGGGTTGGGTAGGTTACATCCTATAACATTATTACAGGGAACAGACCACTGAAAAACATCTTTGCACAATTATGATTGACACGATAGATTTCCCTTATCCCACTCATTTCAAATCTCCGTAAACCTCAGTACCCACTCCGGCTGACTTCACAGTCCCAGCTGGTCCACGTTGGCGGATGTCGACCACAGGCCAGGATGTGCCAGCCGCCCGCCCGGCCATGGTCTCAGCACCTCACAGTGCCCTCAGATGCTCCGGTAGTCAGAGCCCCGGGCCACGATGGCAGCGGCATCCCATTCCACGGTGAAGAAGGACAGCGTTCCCAAAAACCCGAATAGCACCATGATCAGGAGTTGCCAGTGAAGGAGAAGGTAGTTGCTGTAGAAGGCGGCCACGGCTGCGCAGATGGACTGGGGGCAGAGAGGGCACAGAGGCACACAGCTCCAGGGGCGCCTCGCCCACCGCTTCCCGAGCCCACAGCTGCCTCCTGGCAATTACTCCCTGGGACTTGCTCCTTGCCAGCTCAGGACCACCCTGGAACCGGCAGAGGGAGAAACAACACCTCCATGCAGTGAGGGGCAGGGATTCTGGTCTCTAAGGAAGGAGGTCTCCATGTTGAGCAGGAGAGGCTAGGATGTACACTGCATGAGGCCACTCTCCCCGCCTCCTGCGTCTGGGTTCTCTCACAGACCTTTTGGTTTCTTATTTTGGTTTTTGAGCCAGGGTCTTGCTATACAGCTCAGGCTGGCCTTGAACTCACTCTAGAGCCGAGGCTAGTCTCAAACTTACAACAAATCCTCCTGTCTCAGCTTCCTAAGTGTTGGGATTACAGACGGCACCACCAAACCCAGTTTTTACAAACCTTTTTAAGGGTGATTTCCAAGTCTCAATATCTCCTCTCTTTCCCTTTCTCTTTTAGTACTGAGAATTGAGCCCAGGACTGTCATGCTGAGTTGCAGCCTGGCCCTGTTTGTTTGAGACAGAGTCTTCCTAGGTTGCTGGAATGCTCAGACTGGGCTTGAACTTGAGATCCTCCTGCCTCAGCATTCGAGTGCTAAGATTACAGGCATGTGCCACCATGCCTGGTGTTAACTCTTGTTTAAAGACCGTAACACTAGTGACTGAGAAAACAGGGCAAAGTATGAAGAAAAGAACTCTCAGCACGACCTGAAGAGGTTACCTGGACAAATTTAAAGATGGTAAAGGCTGGCGCACTGTCTTCGGAATACAGAAAGCCCAGGATGCTCAGCAGCTGGGTATTAAAGCAACTGTCTCCCAGTCCCAACAGAAAGCTGCAGAGAATGGCAACTTCTTTGCTGAGGAAAATAAAAATTCAGTATAAGAAGTACTAATATTTGGTACAGCCACTTAAAATGTTAAAATAATAAAAATGCTACCAACAAAAGTACTTTCTCTTGAAGTTTTAAACATAACAAACAAGGGCTAGAGAGGTAGCTCATTAGAATATGCGCTTGCCTGGCAAGCACAAGGGCCTGAGTTCAATCCCTGGCACCCCAAAAATAAATAAATAAACAAACGTAACAAACAAGAATAAATAAGCAGAGCCAGGCACAGTGGTGCATGCTTGTAATTGTAGCATTTTGGGAGGCTGAGACAGGAGGATCTCAAATTCCAGCCCAGCCTGGGCAGTTTAGTAAGATCCTGTTTCAAAATAAAAAATAAAAAAGGGCTGGCAAGGTGTGGTGGTGCACAGCTACAATACCAGCACTGGGGAGGCTGACGCAGGAGGACTGATTCAAGTTTGAAGCCAGTCTGGGTTACACAGTGAGACCCAGGGAAAAAGAAAAAAAAAAAATTATATATATATAAAAGAAGGCTGGGGGGCTGGTGAGATGGCTCAGTGGTCTAAAGCACCTACTTAGAACAAGCTTAGCAAAGCACAGGGACCGTGGTTCAATCCCCCAGCACCACAGGCCAGCCCGCCCCGCCCCCTGGTGGGCTGAGCTGGCCACACACACACACACACACACACACACACACACAAATAAATTTAAAAAAAAATTAAAAAAAAAAAGAAGGCTGGGGATATAAGTACCACGCGCTAACCAATTGCACCACTGGAGCTTAAGGCTGGGGATATAATTCAGTCCTGAGGCCCTGAATTCAATCCCCAGTATTAAATAATAAAAAACATGAATAGAAGAATAGAACTTGTAAGTTAAGTGCTCTCTCTCTCTCTCTCTCTCTCTCTCTCTCTCTCTCTCTCTCATTCCTTGTTAAGTCTGGAACTCAAGGCATGTGCTGGGCAAATGGTCTACCAGTGAGCTACACCCTAGTTCCTGTACTAAGATTTTCACAGTAAGAAGTTCAGTTCAGGGCTGAGGAGATAGTTCAGTGGTGTAAGTGCCTGACTGTCAAGTACAAGGTCCAAGTTCAATCCCTGTTACTGAGGAAAAAAAAAAAAGGAAGACGTTAAGCTCAATGCACATACTTTATACTTCAGCAAATTCTGGCCTAGCATCTATTTGGGGAACCCACACTGCTTTCTGGGCCAGCCTCCTCTCAGATGCACAGATCTAAACATCTGCAACCCCATGAATGAAGACCCAGATGCCATGACCATCATCACCCTCAAAGCCTTCAGGAATCTCCTCAAAGGATGAAAGGGCCAACTTGACTAACACACTCCCTACTCCTCTCTACTCTCCAGGCTAATTTTGGGACACCACACTATTCCAAGAGCAGAGGCTGGCAGGTGTGGTGGCGTATGCCTGCCATCCTAGCACTCAGGAGGCTGAGACAGGTGGGTCAGCACAAGTTTGAGGTCAGCTGGAGGCCAGCTTGGACTACATGGCTAGACCCTGCCTCAAAAAAACCCAAAACAAAACAGGAAAAAGGAGGAGGAGGAGAAGGAGGAGGAGGAGGAGGAGGAGGAGGAGGAGGCGGCGGCGGCAGCGGCGGCAGAGGTGGTAGAGAGGGAGGGGAGAAAGAGAGAGAGGAGGGAGAGGAAGAAGAGGAAGAAGATTTAGTAGGAAAGTGAAAAGAAACTTGCAAAAAGAACTTGGGATTCTTTACAGGGCTATCTTATGAACTGACCTTCAAGGAAACAGACTCCCTGAGCCGACTAAGTGCTTCATTTCACACCCCCTACCGGCCAGCAGCTCTTCTCTGTCCTTGAACCACTGGGGAAATGGCAGTGCCGTACCTGGGCCTGATGTACGCGCTGCGGTTAGTTCCCCCCACTGGCGCGATAGGGGCATCTCCAGGCATGTTGAGAAATATTAAATAAAAAGCTATAAAGTGGACCAGAATGCCCAATAGCACCACTGGATTTCGGCCAAAACGATTATTCTTGCTCAGCAGGCCAAAAAGGCTTCCACCTATAAATTAAGAAAGCAGAAATATTAGAAAATTACTAACACATTATAGAACATCACTGATCTTGAATTATAATAAAGCAGTCATGGGATAAATATCATCGATTGTCCAATATCTTTTGAAATTCAACACCTCAGCACTTGTAGCCAATGATAGTTATACACCAACTAATGTAACAAAAAATATGGCATCTAAATTACTTTTATATTTATCTAGTAATCTTTACATTTCTTCTCTTTGAGTTTTTGTTCCCCTACAACAATCCTATTTGTTTCTTGACCCTTCTTGACACAGGGTCTCACTATAACGTTAAGGCTGGTCTTAAACTATGTACCCCAGGCTGGCCTCCAATTTGTACCAATGGTCCTACCTCAGCCACCCAAGTGCTGGGATTACAGGTATCTGTCAACATGCTCAGCTCTTCTTTGAATTATAAATTATAACAAAATAAAACTGAAAAGATACTATCTGCTACTATCATGTTTTTGCTATAATCAGAGCTGAAAGAGCCAAGCTCTTCCCAGAATGGTGGTATAACCAACCCCACAGGGACAAGCACCTTGGCTTGGGGACCTCTTTGCACTCACCACTGTAACTACTGATCAGGCTGTCCATTTGCATCCTTTGTAATCAATTGTAGTGGTGAGGGCAGCATTTTTCTGAGTTATGCAAGTTGTTTAGGAATTTATTGGGCCATAAGGGGTCAGGAGGGCCCACAAATCTGTGGCCAGATGAGGCAGAAGTGTGGGCCACCTAGTAGTTACCAAAACAAAATTTAAGTTGTTCTCTGACCTTTCCAGAAACCACACAATGACCAAAATTCCCCACCAGGCCATTTCTAACAGCATGGCAATCATGTTCCTTCAGTTTTTGGGTTTTTTTTTTTTTTT